CCTCCAGCCGGACTTGAACCGTTGACCTTGACTGTGGGGGCATGGGAGCTTAACCGCTAAGCTATGGGACCCACACCTGATCAAGTATATTTATAAGTACTAAACTATTTCTTATATATATATTAAATCAAAAATGTTCTAACTGTAAAAATAAAAATATAACAAAAAAAGATTTTAAAATAAAAGTAAATAGATTATTTATAAAAATTATTATTACTTGTTATTTTTGTTAAACCAAATCATTTTATGGCAATTAAATTTCAGATGTAAACTTTTCAGATATTATAGCTGTCACAGGATTAGCTAGTAGAGTTAACCATGAAGAATGATCAACAATGTTATGCTTGTATGGAATAACATGTCAAAGTGGAAAAGCTTAATATTTTTAAGAACAAGAAAAATTTTTTAATAAAATCAAAATTGCAGTTGAAAATAGTGCAAATAATGTATTACATATAGCTTATAAATAAATTGTTTTGGGGTATGGTGACCTAGTGAAGTGGATAGGTTGTCAACCCCCAAGTGGCAGGTCTAAGGTTCAATTCTCACGGACGACGAATTTTGGAAATTATATCTGTGTTATGGTAACTGTCTCTACTGATCGGTTGGGTTTTGGGCATCTGTAATCTTAGGTACACCAAGTCAGACCCCACCTGACATTGGGAGCTCAGAGCATCTATGCGAAGTATAACGTTACATAGTACATGTACATAGAGGAATGTAAAACCAGTATCATATAAGGTTTCAGGCAAACCCATGATAAGTCTTCTAGGTGTAGAAGGCTAAGAAACCGAAGAGACAGAAACCCACTTAGAAATCCCGAGTAAAAAGGTAGCACAAACTTTTGATGGTGCCATTGGACTGATGGAAGCCCATGAAACACCTTCATAGGAACTGTCAGATAAACCGGTTGACAAAGATGTGTAGAGGAGCACATGACCAACCAGGCCGCCAGAATTGCTGGAGGAAAAGGATACATAAGTATACCATACCAGGCTATCTGGATTAGGAGTCTAGGGAGTCGGTTAGTTCCGAGTTGCAGCTAGTAGAGAATGATGAAGAATAAGTCGGAAAGATGTGTACCAGGGTTTGGGTGAACTTTACAAGAGTAATAGTGGTTTAAGGAGTAACTCTAACTGCAAGTGTTGGTCTCGGCCATATCATTAAAACCAGGTTAGCAGTAAAAGGGAATATGGCTCACTTTGGTAGGTTTACCTCGAGGATAACTGTCCTATAGTTAAAAGCGAACAGATCTGGGTCTGTGATCCAGTAAAATTAATACTAGAGTTAGATTAGAAGGTTTAAATGGAACATTTAAGCAGGGATGTTAGGTACGGCAACTGGTAAGGAACCCTCGGGCAGACTTCTTAAATAGATAATATAGAAAAGTTACATGTGTAGCCAGTTGTACACTCATATAATAGTTCAATATGGATACGTCTGTATAAAACATGTACCCAACATAAGTATTAATAAAAAGCTAGTACCAAAGAGGTCGCCTTAACATCGAAAAAAATAAAAAAAATAAAAAAAATAAAAAAATTGTTTTTAAAAAAAAAGAAATTTTAGAAGTAGGCTTTGATTGTTCATGAAGTAAAGTTTGAGAAGCTCCTTAAGCAAGTACTAAATTTATCTATAATGAAATACCTAAAGGTAATAATAAAAAAATTTTTAATTTTAAATTATAAATAAATTAAATTAATTTTGTAATTAGAATTTCAACACAAACTGATTATTGGATTTAGTGTAATAAAAAAACCTCAAATTTATAATAATAAAAATGAAAAAAATAATTATTAATGAAGGCAATCATGATAGTAGTAGCAGACAAATAGAACATGCAAATCTTATAAATATAATTAGTAGAATTACACCTATACTTTATGAATATAATATTGTATTAGATATTAGTATTGATGATAATTTAAGTACTAATAAAACACTTGCTAAAGAAAACATAATCTATAAAATTTTTACTGATTTGAAACATAAATTAAAAATTTTAAAAAATAAAATACTACTACGTAACATTCTTCAACAACAATAGGAAAAAGCTCGCAATATAACGAAAAAATCTAAACGTTCAAAAATATTTTCTTTAACTCTACCTTCTCAATCTAATT